ACTTCTAAGATGTCCTACCTTTGCTTTGGTGACCACCTTGTCCCTTAATCGAATTGACCCAAATAACTCCAACGATGGTGCTACCTACCTCTCAATGGTGGGATAACACTATCTAAAGGACTCTTACACAGCCTAATTCCTTAGAGTAGGTAGATTCTCATGGGTACTTGCTCTTTCTCAAAATAAACAAAAATACTTTTCACACCTCACACTTTCTAAAAGTTTTCAAACAAATTTTTCACACACTCTTGAGGACAGATACAAGAGTTACTTAGAAATTTTTCAAACGAAACTTTTTTCAAAACCCACACACATTTGAAAAGCAAACAATTTTTGAAAACATAAGAGCAAGTACCTAAGAGCCCGTGGATAACCACGGATAGAAAGGGTGCTAACATCTTCCCTTTCTATAAATCTACCTCCTGAGCCGAGAAACATTCTCAAAGAAGGAATTTTGCTGTGCTTTTGTCCTTTCCATGTTGGAGAACATAAAAGACGGTGGCGACTCTTGCTTACCGCGACATTTCACGAAACCAGCTAAAAAACAGTCAGTTCTATTTCCACCGATCACATTAGGCGTTTGAATTACAGGGAAAATTGGGCCAAATAATGGTTACAGGGATGATCAGGTGAAGGAGACGAGTACGATGGTATTCTTATAATTCGTTTCCATGGCCTAGGGTGAGTTTTGGAAGCAAGCTACGAACTTTCCTGCGGATTAAATCCGCAGGTAAATAACCAGGGGGCTTTGTGAAGAAGACGACCACGCATCTTCTCCTTACTGGCCAGTTCAAATTGTTAGCGCATTTTTTTATTTTTGCCAGGCATAATTAATTGTTTGTCTTATAATATTTGTTTTCTATTCCAATAACAAAGAAGCAGCGTGGATGAGTTGGCAAGCACGCTATGGTAAAACCCCTTGGGACCTGGGTTCGAATCCCAGGTCCCCCAAAACTTTGATAAATTTTGTTTTCAGGAAATCTTGTGCAACGTCAAAGATGCAATCCACCATGCGCTTGCAGAGATCAACGTACCAAGTGGCTTCAGACCATGATCCAAAAGCCAGAATTGAGTATCCACCATACTCCCTGGTCAACAAGCACGCAGGGAATCACAAAGGTCAAACGGGCTGGAGCGCTAATGGGCCTCAAAAATTGTTGATCATACACCCAGATCAGGCCCAATACCCCATGAGTTTGTTCTTTTTTTTATTATTTTCTTTTCATTATTTTCCTATTTTTGTTTTACTATTATTATTATCTTAATTAATTAATTAACCAATTAACCATTTTTCATAAAAAATCAGAAACAACAAAAAATAATATTTTTATTAAACCCATTAATTTCATTATTTATTTTTGTAAATAAACATTAATTAATTTATTTAGTTTAAATAGGTTTAACAATAATATATTTTGCAATAAATTAAAATCAAATTAGAATATTAGGTTTTTAATATTTTTAACCATTCTTATTTTATTTCCTTAATTAAAATAAAAAAACCAAAAATATTTTCATTTAATTAATTAATTCAATTATTAACTTAGACTAATTTTTAATTCAAAAAATAACGAAAAATATGCTTTATTTAATAAAAAGGGTCAAAACCCTAAGACACTCCGATTTAATTTTCTCACGCGCGTATTATTTTTTATCCATATCTCAATATTGTAACTGCTTCGGGAATGTAATAGTTTAACTTAGGATTTTATTATCGCTTTTATTTACTTTTCGTAATTTAATTTTAAAGGGTTTGTCTTTGGCGATGTAAATACCCGACGCCTTGTAATAGCTTAGATTAATTTCCCGCAATTTAATTTCCGCACAAATATTAACTGTTAGATGTTTGATAAATAGGCAATGCATGACAAGATCAATCTTTAACTTAAAATCAACAATAGCTCACCATTGACATGTACAGATAAGAATTAACCGAATTGACACACTTGCACATGCCACTCTTAGGGTACACCTCACTTGGTTGCCTCGAACGTGGTCATTGAGTATAGAAAGTTTTAGAGGTCGCCCTCTTGTCCAAAGATCATAGTTGCCTCGAAACAGTCGCCTCGGAAAAATGATCTAGGATATTAGGGTTACCGCTAAGGCGTCCTAACATTGCTTTAGTGACCACACGTCCCTTAATCGAATTGACCCGAAAACTCTAACGATAATGCTACCTACTCCTCAATAGTAGGATAGCATTGTCTAAAGGACATTTGTACAGATTAATTCCTTTTTTTCGAGTAGGTAGATGGTTCTTAAGTACTTGCTCTTTCTAAAACAAAACAAAACTTTTCGCACTTACACTCCTTTCAAAACAAAAACTTCTTGCAAACCCACAAACACAAAGAAAAGAAATTTTTTGAAAACACAATGAGTAAGTACCTAAGAGCCCGTGGATAACCACAGATAGAAAGGGTGCTAACACCTTCCCTTTCTATAATCTATCTCCCGAACCCGAGAAACATCTCGAAAAAGGAATTTTTCTGTGTTTTTTTCCTTTCATTGTTGGATAAAATAAAAGACATTGGCGACTCTTGCTTACCGCGACATTTTGCGAAAACAAACGCAAAACGCGAACCAGCATTCCAAAAACAGTCAGTTCTCGTTCCCACCGATCACAGAACTGGCGACTCTGCTGGGGACTTTTAAAAGTGGGGTGTACCTTAGGATTAGATCACTGTGTTTTCAATTGTATGCTTTGTATGCTTTAATTTTGTGGGCTTGTATCGGAGTTCTATAGATCCTAACCCGGATCTGGGGATACCCTTTAGGTAAGTAGCAATAAACTGTGAGGGATTTGTACGGCGTAGACCGATACGGATGAAGCAGTAGTTACGTTGGTGTGGCACCTTGGTCTGTACCGATATCCCTTGTGTTGGAACGAGGAGAATATGGGTCTTCTAAGGAGTCATTAAGCACCAACTGACCTTAGAACCTTAAATTGACAAACTTGACCATAGAACAGTAGCAGTATGCTACACTCATTGAGACTAAACTCTCGCGATGATTCCGGCTGCAAGAAAAGGTTGCTAAACTGGAATTATGACCGATTGAGGGTAGTCAGTGATATTGAGATCCTCTAGAACTCGGTTACTATTTTTAGGATAGGTTTAAACCAACTGAACTGAAAGAGGGTTGTACCTAAGCTCCACGCCAGCCTGAAATCTAAGGGCACTTTTGTGTGACTTGTATGCCTTTACCATGTTTGCTTTTTGTGGATACTTGTGGTGTGCCTTTATCATAACATCATGACATCATAGCATTGCATACATCTTGCATAAGGACTAACCTATTTCAAAGATAAGAGGGTTTCATCTTTGCTCTGTTTTGTAGGTCATTATGATGCCCATGCGTAAGAATACTATCCGGATCAACTTTGTCCAAGTACCTGCCCTGCTTAAAGAGTTGGTTGCACTACAACATTTAGGCTCTCCAGCAACAATTGAAAAACGTTGCCAGAACTCTGAAAATCGTTGCCTAAAACAATAGGGGACGTTTTCTAGGCGTCTCCTGTGCGAGCGTTTCCTATTGTTTGAGGCAACGTTTTTTTATGTTTTTTGGGAACGCTTTTGAAAAACGTCGCCTATAGTAAAGGAATAGGGGACGATTATTTACGGCCTCTGAGACAACGTTTTTTAAGCGTTGCGTTGCCAAATTCGGCTACAATTAACAATCGTTGCCTTAAACCTGAATCAAGAAGATCGTTTTTGAAGTGTAGTCATAGCTTATAGGTTGTTGTTTTATAGTGTCCACATAAAATATACAATTTTGCAATTATTATCAAAATAATATAGTCAATAATAATTGGCTTCAAAAATAATATTGATTATATAACTTAAACCATATATCCATAAAAGTTGTAATATAATAAAATCGAGTTCAAACTTTAATTCAAGATATAGTATATAGAGTACACAAAATGGCTAACGTAACAATATTACTTTTAATACTTTGAAGTATGACCCTAGTAAAATAACTAAAAACATAGTTCAGCAAAAGAACAAAAATCATATTTCAAGTTTAATGCTTTTAACTACAAGCCAAAAAAAAGACATCATCCAACTCATTCAAGTTTGTCTTCTAGGAGTAAAGCATCCAGATCGTCCTCTTGAAATTCGTTAGATATGTCATCCTCCATAAATTCTTCATCTACGTCGTCCTCTTGAAATTCACCATCTATATCCTCCTCTTGAAATTCATCATCTAGATCTATGTCATCCTCTTGAAATTCGTCATCTACGTCGTCCTCTTGAATTTTATCATTTAGGTCGTCCTCTTGAATTTTATCATTTATGTCGTCCTCTTGAATTTCATCATTTATATCGTCCTTTTCAACATCTTCATTGATACATTGCTGCATAAGAAAATAAAATAAAACACATTAACCATAAGTATTTTTGGTCCAAAGGACAATTAAGACATCAACAGAATTAAACCTCGCACAAATAAAAACTAAACCAATGAGCAAAACACATTGTTTATATTCTTCACATCTCATGGATGTGAATTAATTATGAAGGTTTTTAATGGATGTGAATTTTCGTTCTAAACTGTAATAGGTGACATGAGCTTACTAGCAAATAAATCAATTATGAAAACTATTCTGTTTTTGGCTCACTATTCAGGACTTACAATAGCCTTTAACTGTATGTATGTATGTATGTATAACTTGTGCTATCCTTTTATGTTTATTTTTTGGAGTAAATGAACTCTGATGAACACTCTTACTTGTTGTATCTTCTTTGGTGTTCAGTATCATATGGATAAATTTACAGCATACATAGTGAGTGTTATAGAACAAGGGGGTCCCATAATCTTATGTAAATAATACATGAAATCATTATTATGAAATATGAAACTAATTACCTTTTTCTTCTTCTCTATTTGTGATTGCATCTTCTTCGTTGACTTTTGCCCGATTTTGAACACTTTCTTGTTGAGTTTCTTTTTTTGATTGATTTTGATTAGAGCTACGGTTAACGCTGCTGCCCGGTTTTTCACCATTGATTGACTTGGTTGCATCCATTTCCTTTGACTTGTGAAGATCTACATAATCATCAATCAACATTGATGGGCATTTTGACACCCTGTTTAGCTTTTGAGAGCATTCAGCTTTTGACATCATTGTGTCCAAAGATAGAGTTTTCAGCACAACAACATGAAAACTTAGCAAATAAGTTACATACCTTGCTCTAGTCATGGACACATTGGTTCTTTGCCGATTTGAAAGAAAACCTACTTTTCCACTCCCATTTGATCTAACAGTAGACATTATTATAATATCTTCCTCTCCACCTTGAAAACCGTCAATAGAACGAACACTCACAGAGAAATCAGTATCAGAAACAGAAGTGTACTCCTTAATTTTGTCCTGGATTGCATAGACTTGAGCATTATATGGAGAGATAACTCCAATGCTAACTTTCTCTTGTGTCCTCTTAAACTCTAAAATTAAGAACATACACATATTAATTATACACATATTAATAGAAAACATAACCACAAATGGTAAAGAGAATAATAACCTTTTTTGAGGTTTTTAATCATCTCAGAAATGACAGCAACCTCAACCATGTTCATCAAGCTGTGTCCGCGGCCAGATTTCTCCTTACCCTTAGCAATGTTAATAAAAGAATAAGACGAATATAATTCTCCTTCAAGGAAACTCTTATTGTAGCTTTCTTCCATAACAAAAGGGGCATCTGAGATCTTTTGATCATAGAACTCTTTGCATGGAAATAAGCTTATGTTTGGATGCATTCGATACTGAACATTAAGCATATGTTTCTTGTACCCTAATATTACCAGTCTCTCAAACATACTTCTTCCAAATCCACAACTATCAGCAATCTAAAAAAAATTCAAACATCATAAACATACTTAATTAAAGGCAAAAAAATTCAAGATACAATAAAACTAAATTCAATAATCAGGTACCTTGCTTTTCACCAGTGCTGGCAGTTGCTTCTCATCACCTATAAGAATGCAATGCTGAAGACCAGGTAGCTTTAAGGGGATTGTGGATTCACACTCTTTCAACTGGGCCGCTTCGTCAATTACTAGAAACTTTACCTGAGTCATTCCTTCAGTGTAGAGTTTAATAGAACTAGAAACAGTGCACAAAACCAGACATGCATTGGACAAGCAAAACTTTTCTATTTGATTTCTCCCATTGAGTTCAGGAAGCAAAATAGAACTGGAAAGCAAACTGAGTATTTTCAAGAAATCATCAATTTCAGAGTTTGATATCACCAAGACCTGGATAACAATAAACTTTCATTCTTTTACCATTTCCAAAGAGCACAATGTCACCTAAACCATAGGTATCATACTCAAGGGATTCCATAACTAAACTATGCAACCGAATTCAACATTTTCTCAAACCCGTACAAATAGAAAATGCATTCACAAAGCCCTTTCCAACTAGCCTATTCTAAGAGTTTATGACCAAAATCAAATTTGTTACACTTCACTAACCATGAGTTTATGGGGGAGAGTATTAGAGATAACCAAAATTAGTGTAACTACTTTTTGAAAGTTAGTTAGAATTGTTGAGAAGGAGTTAGAAAAGTTAGAGTATTTAACTTTTTGGTTTGCATTAGTAGGATATTCGTGCATTCGCACGGGTTCTGTTAGGGATGACTGTTTTTTCACCATTTAGGGTTTGAATACAAAATATAAAAATAGAATAACAAATTTAAGCAATTAGAATAAGAATTTAAAAAAATGGAAATCAAATTAAGTGGATACATAAATATGTGATTAAAATAATATACAAAATCAGATTAACAAAAAGAAATGACAAATAAATCTTAAATCAAATAAGTTTGTAGTGAAAGGTTATTCGTGCATCTGCATGTAATTTCTAACTCAAACATGTGGTATGCATACACATGTAGAATATGACTCAACCATAAAACATTGGGTTTTAGATTTTAATTTTGGGTCTCATTTTTAAAGGTTGGCGTAAATGGGCTGTCTATAAAGCATAGATTATTTGGCCACCAGAAACACATTTATTTTGTTTCATGGAGTCCTAATGATGAAGATACTAACATGTGGAGTGGAGGAATGTGTTAGGCGTTGGGATGTCTCTACTGGTAAGTGTCTCCAAATTTATGAAAAAGCTGGTGCTGGCCTAGTCTTTTGTTCATGGTTTCCAGTTGGGAAATATATACTTTCTAGCTTAAGTGATAAGAGCATTTGCATGTAGGAATTATATAGGAATGCAGTGGAGTCTTGGAAAGGACAGAAATCCCTTAAGATTTCTGATTTGGATATAACAGATGACGAAGAAGTGATTCTAAGTATTTGTAAACCCAATACATTACTATTGTTCAATAGAGAAACAAAGGTTGAGAGATTTATTGAAGAAAACCAGCCATTAACTTCTTTTTCCTTATCAAAGGATAACAATCACAGCAACCTCGTACGATGCCGAGGTAATGCCATTGATGACAATGACAGGTGAAGTGTTTGAGCTAGAAGATAACACTCTTTTGCCAACAACAATGTTAGTCTTTCAATTCATTATTTGTGAATTGCTTGTATCATCAAACCAATTCCACACCATTCTTCCAAAACTATTATATGATCTTAATTTTTAAGAGACTTAAAAACTTTTTCACTATAATAACTCAATTGATGACTACAATAACTAATATGATCTGAAACAGAAAAAAATACTTGAAATTATTAAAACATTTCATAGTAGTTTTTCATATAACCTAGAAACTGAAACATACTATTCGACATTAATTCAATTTTGGAATAAAAAATAATCACTATCACTATTTGAAATATGATTCAGTGACATGTGTAGTATAAAATTAAACAAATGTACCTGAGACCAAAATTTAGCCAGTGAAATCACATATTATTGATAAAAAAAACTTTGAACCGTGCACATTAATATTAATACTCATAGTGAAAGGGAATAACAATAGATAGAGGATCAGTATAATAGTGTAACATAATAATATTGATTTGTTTAGCTTCGACACTACTATTGGAAGCGTTGGATATATGGCTACATAACAATTCATTAACTTCAAATTGGTTACCTAAAAAATATACAAAACTATAGAAATTGTACTCATGTATATGAAACATAAGAAGCAGAACACAACTTCAAGCCAGTATTCTTCTATTTAGCAGCGTACTTAGGTACAGGCACCTTATGTTTCTTTCTGGCAAGTTACCAAATTCAAGGCATAAAAACATATGGTTTTCTTGATGCTCTTTATTTCTGTGTCGTCATGATGACAACCGTTGGATATGGCGATCTCGTTCCTAATAGTACTATAGTGAAACTACTTGCTTGCCTTTATGTCTACACTGGTATGGCTCTTGGTGGCTTGATTCTTAGCAAAGCAGCAGATTACATTGTTGAAAAACAGGAAGTGTATCTTGTTAAAGCAATATGCAAAGCCGAGAAACTCGGTCTAGAAGAGGTTTCTAAACTTGTGACTAAGAAAAGCAAATACAAGTTTCTGCTTTCAATATCCACTTTTGTTGTACTCATGATTACAGGAACTGTTTTTCTGTATCTTGTTGAGAAACTAGATTTCGTCGATGCATTCTATTGTGTTTGTTCGACGGTTACGACTTTAGGTTACAGAGATAAGAGCTTCTCAACTCCTATTGGTAGGACTTTTGCTGTGTTTTGGATATTAAGCAGCACCATTTGCTTGGCTCAGTGTTTTGCATATCTTGCTGATTTTTATACGGAAGATAGACAAAGATCATTGGCGAAAATGGTTCTCACGCGAAATTTTTATATGCATCATTCACTGGGATTGTATACTTTTCTTAATTTGTCGCGTATAATCAACGACAACAACAACAACACCAACACAGACATGGCTATAGCAGCGACCTCCTCACAAAATCATCAATTGTAAAATATACATGTCGTTCTCCAGCTATATTAATATGACAATATAAACAAACCCAAATAGACATTTTATCAAACAAGATGCGTGCATACAAGAAATCCGTATAATCAATTAATCCTACAACTCAGATTTGGAGTTTATAATATGTTTACCTGAGTATCAATGGAAGATGGAAGATGTTGGTAGAGCTTTCTCTTAAACCTGAATTTCATCGATTTTGCAGTTAATTAGATAAACCCATAATTAAAAAGCTTTTAATTTGTGAAAACTAAAAATTCTAAGTAGAATTTCACCTGATTCTGAGAAGAAAGCTCGTGGAGGCGTTCTTGAAGGACGAATTTGTTGGATTTGAAAAACAATTTTGCTGATGTTTGAGATTTTTGAAGAAGATGTGTTTTACTGCGTATGTTTGAAAGTATAGTAACAGTGACCCATACTTTGGTCCAGTTTGGAACAATGGGTACCGGTTATTTTTTAATTTAATAAATGGGTACCAATTTGGAACAATGAAAAATATTTTAAATTCCTGTGTTAGAAAATTTTTTATTTTCTGTTTAATGAAATTTTTTTAAATATATATATAAGTTTTAGAGAAATATTAATAATGTGTTAGAAAAATTCCTGTTTAATTGAAATATATATAAGTTTTAGATTTATATATATATATATATATATATATATATATATATATATATATATATATATATATATATATATATATATATATATATATATATATATATATATATATATATATATATATATATATATATATATATATATATATATAATATATATATATATATATATAATTTTATTTTCTGTTTAATTGAAATTTTTTATTTTTAAATTCCTGTGTTAGAAAAATATTTTTTTTTATATATATTAATAATGTTTAGAGAAAAATATTTGTTTTTTAGTGTATAAGTTTTGGAGGGAAGATTGCCACCAAAAATTTGATAATTCTAAAAAAATTTATACAACATTTCAGAAATGTAGCATTTTATTAGAACTAATGTAACAATCTAAAAATGTCCCAAAAAATATTTTAGGGGACAATTGTCAAACATTGCTAAAGAAATAATATTTTAATGCTCTAAAATCGTCCCCAAAAGCATTTAAGGGCACAATTAACAACCGTTGGCAAAAAAATAAAAGAGTATCGCTCCATAAACGTCCCCAAAAGTATTTTAGGCGACGATTATCAAGGGTTGCAAACATATTTTTGACAACAATCGTAAATCGTTGCCTATATGAATTTAAGGCAACAATTTCTACATGTTACCTAAAAAAGTGTTGCCAGAGACAACAAATGTTGTAGTGTTGTCAGGATACCAGACACTACTTCCTTCATCAGGAGGCATGGTTCTCTTCTCAGTTTGGTCACCTCCAAATTGGACGAACAAATGATGAGTGTCCTGGTCCAGTTTTATGATCCGCTGTACCATTGCTTCACTTTTCAAGACTATCAGCTGGTTCCTACCCTAGAAGAGTTTTCTGAGTTGCTCGGTATCTCTATTTTGGAGCAGACTCCGTTCACTAGTTGGGAAAAGACTCTCAGGCCCGAAGAGATTGCTGCAGTCCTTCATTTGACAAAAGAGGAAGTAATGGTTAATTGGGAGACTAGAAGTGGAACTAAGGGTTTTCTGACTAAGTTCTTGGTGAGCAAGGCTAACTACTTCTGGGATAGCCTAGACTTTAAGGCCTTTGAGGACACTTTGGCTCTTCTGATTTATGGCCTGGTATTGTTTCTGAATCCTGATACTTTTGTTGATATTAATGCCATAAAGATCTTTATCTCTCAGAACCCTGTACCCACTCTCTTGGGAGACATCCTTCATCAGCTATATGCTCGTACTGCCCGAAAGCGGGGAACTTTGATGTGTTGTGCTCCTTTATTGTCGAGGTGGTTTATTTCGCACCTCCCTAAGTCCGTGCTGAAGAACAAAGAAGAAATGGGTTGGGCTTATAGGGTGATGTCTCTTTCTAACAATGAAATTATCTGGACTCTTAAAGGTATGGATGAGGTGACTGTCATTGATCGCTGTGGAGAGTATCCTAATGTTCCATTGATCGGAACCCATGGAGGGATTTCTTACAACCCATGCTTAGATCTCCGTCAGTTTGTAAGAGCCAGAAGAGAATGGCCTCATGAGATGTTGATGCCTCATATCATCTTTGATTTTCAGGGAGATAGCGACGAGCTGCGTCGTAGATTCATAAGAGCTTGGGACAGAGTTCACCAATCTGATCCACATGAATTGGGTCCAAAGACTTCTCTGCCAATGGAGCCATATCTCAGATGGGTCCTCATCCGTGCCCAGAAGTTAGGTATGCCATATGAAGCTGTCCGGCCTGTCACTCTTGAAGTTGCTAATGAGGAAGGAGTTCTTCCAACCATTCTCCACCCTTATATGCCCACTGATATTGGGGCACTGAAGAGGTCCTGGATGCAATTGAGGGATGAACGGGATTCTTACCGAGAGAAGTTCAACGAGCAAGAGCAGAAGATCCAGAAGCTAACTAGGCAACTGGAGAACGAGCGGATCCTGAATGATTATGTCCGCACTGAGAAGAAGAGACCATGGGAGCATTGATGGACCTTTGAGGATTTCTTTTACAGTTTTTATTTACTTTTCAGTATTTCCATTCTTGTAACGCCTAAAGGCAGTTTGTTGAACAATTTAAATTTTTGAGGTTTAAATCTAATAAAGTGCGTTTCCTTTCTTGTTTACAAATTTGAATCTCGATTGTCTTTGAAATCATAAATCATACGCATTTCATCCCATGTACTTCATAAACAGGTACCCTATTACAGGTCTCTTATCTTCTTCGTTGTTTATTTCAGCAATCATCATGTCTTCTGAACCTTCAACTGAGCAAGCTATCAAGGCCCTCCAGGCCCAGAATGCCCAATTTCAAGAGCTGGTCATGAGCCTAGCTAAGGGTCAGCAGGACCTGAAGACCCTGATTCTGAAAGAGAGGAAGAAGAAGAAGAAGAGGACCATCCTATTTAACACATGACGCAGGTTTGGAAACGGTCTACAGAATGAAGTTGATCTGACCACCTCATTTGGAGGGAAAGGTAGTCCACAGGAAAGGAGGGCTCCTAGCCCTGTGATCTCCGACAACGAGACGGACTACGATGAAGAACAGTATCCTCCTGCTGAGGATAAGTACAAACAGCTGGAAGACCGTTTGAGTGCTATGGAAATACAGAAGGTGCCCGGTCTGGATTTCGGAGATCTAGGTCTATCATCTGGGGTGGTGATTCCCCACAAATTCAAGGCACCTGCCTTTGCCAAGTATGACGGAGCTTCCTGTCCAAAGTTGCACCTCTGGTCATATGTGAGAAAGATCCAGCCTTACACTGCTGATAAGAACTTATGGATCCATTTCTTTCAAGACAGTCTCTCAGGGACTCAGCTTGAGTGGTTCTATCAGTTGGACGGAGCTAGTATCCGCAGCTGGGAGGATTTGGCTACTGCATTTTACAGGCAGTATCAGTATAACTCTGACCTTGCTCCTACGTGTACCCAACTCCAGGGTATGTCAATAGGAACGGGTGAAGGATTTAAAGAGTATGCTCAGAAATTTAGAGACCTTGCCAGAAGGGTGCAACCACCTTTGGCTGATCGTGAGCTTGTTGACATGTTTTTGGGGACCCTGTCTGGTTCGTTCTTTAACCATCTGATTGGAAGCTCTTCAGCTGGGTTCACAGATCTTATTTTGACTGGTGAGAGGATTGAAGCTGGTATTAAGGCTGGAAAGATACAGAAGTGTGCCTCATCAAGCACTGAGAAGAAGCCGTTTAAGAAAGAGTCCAGTGTTGTCTAAAGTTCAAGAAGATAGAATAGACCTGAACACCGCCAAGCTGTCAATGCGGTTGTTATTTCAAAACCTGCTGGTGCTCCTCAGCACAACAATCAACAGAAGGACGAGAGACCTCGAAGGCAATTTACTCATCTCAGCATGAATTTGTCTCAGATTCTTCCCCAGTTGCTGAAAACCAATCTGGTAATTCTAAAGGAAGCTCCGAAAAGTCCAAATACCACATCACCGAGGTATAACCCTAATGCCCGTTGTGCTTTTCACTCTGATAGCCCAGGGCATAATACGGACGATTGTTGGGTTTTGAAGAATAAGGTGCAAGACTTAATTGATGCAAAGGAGATTGAGTTCGAGGCGTACGAAAGGCCTAATGTTGTGACTGCTCCCATGCCCAAACATGGAGTAAATGCGTAGAGGAAGACTTGTTTGTAGTTTCTGTGGATGACATTGTTACCCCTCTAATGACTGTCAAGGAGAACCTGTTACTAGCCGGTTTATTTCTAGGTTGTGGCGAAGGTTGCCATATGTGTTCTGTTTTACCTACTGGTTGCCCATTCCTGAAGTCAGGTATCCAAAACCTGATGGATAGTAAGGAGATCCTGTTTGAGAAGACTGTTGTTCCCTCCATTCCTACTGAAGAAGTTGCCATCATTACCATTTTCGAGAATTCTTCCAAGGCTCCCTCGAGGAAGCCTGTTAGAATTACATCTACTCCGAAGATCGCACCTGTGATTATCACTGTTCCGAGGCCCATCCCCTACACCTCTGACAAAGCTGTCCCCTGGCACTACGGGGCTGATGTTTATGTTCTTGGAGTTAAGCAAGAGTTGGATGCTGATACTGGCATCAGTAACATTACTGGGCCTGCTAAAGTCACCCACAGCGGTAGACTTTTCTCACCTGATATTATTCCACCAACTATCCGAAGACCTGTTGTCATTACACCTGCAAGTATACCTGTTGCCATTCCTGATCAAGTTCCTAGTCCTACCCCTGTCGCCAAGTCATCTAACGCTAGGGGCAAAGGGATCACCACCGATGTGCCTGCCCAGACGGAGGCACCGAAGACCATTACTGTTGAAGCTTCCAAACAGGAGATGGAAGAGATTTTGAAGATTATTAAGAAGAGTGATTATAACGTGGTTGAGCAGCTGGGGCAAACCCCATCCAAGATTTCTATGTTGTCACTATTGTTGTGCTCAGAGTCCCATGCCAAGGCTCTGATCACCTTCCTGAAGTCTGCCCACGTGCCACAAGAGACATCAGCTGATCATTTTATAGATTGTGTGGCTAATTTAACTGCTGATAATGGTTTGGGTTTCTCCGACGCTGATTTGACTGCTAAAGGGAAGAACCATAATGATGCCCTGCATGTATCCATTGAATGCAGGGGCACTAATCTTACACATGTATTGGTTGATACTGGTTCCTCACTGAACTTCTTACCCAAGAAAGCTCTAGACCGGTTGGATTGCGAAGGGTTAGAGTTAAAACCAAGTAACATCGTTGTCAGGGCCTTTGATGGGTCTAAAAGGATGGTGCACGGTGAAGTTGATATTCCAATTAAAGTTGGTTCTCAGGTCTTCAATTCTATGTTCTATGTGATGGACATTCGGCCATCCTACTCTTGTTTGTTGGGTCGTCCATGGATCCATAAAGCTGGGGCCGTAACCTCAATGCTCCACCAGAAGCTGAAGTACCCTGTCAGAGGAAAGATTGTGACAATTCAAGGGGAGGAAGAGTACATGGTCAGCCACCTCAACTCGTTCAGATACGTAGAGATGGATGGGGAGTTCATTGAGACCCCATTTCAGCACTTTGAAGAGGTTCCTCAGACACTGGCATCAGTTGAGATTGTGGTTGAAGATTCTCCTATGAAGATGGCTTCCTTAAAGGATGTCCGGGCTGTTATTGAGAAGGGTGAGTGTGCAAATTGGGGCCGACTTCCTGATTTCACTCAGAAGACTAATAAGTTTGGTTTGGGTTTCACTGCAGAAGCTCAAAGGGCTGTTCATAATGCAAGGATCGGAAGACCTCCCGTGTTCATCAGCAACTCGGAAGTAAATGCCATTGAAGATGATGTGGAGGAGTCTGAATTCGACAGCTGGATCTATCCTACGACCAACGGTGGACCAAGCAACTGGACAGCAAAGGACTTCATCCATATTACTTTTGTTACCCAGTAATGAACTCTTTGTTTTGAATTTGTAACAGACAATGTTTTGAAACTTTATGGCCCGGTGTCTTACCCGGGGCACCGTGGCTTCATTTGTGAGGGCTCTTGTGTGACATTTTCATATATCATTAATAAAAGCATTGGACGTTTTTGCATTTCAAATTTTGTGCTCCTTGTCTTTCTTTATTATATATTACAAAACAGTTATTTTACACACACTCATATATACAGGTCTCAATCCACTCTGGATCTCACTGGTAACGACTCTGCTACTGCCAGTTATGACTTCGAAAATTCGATCAACTTAGCCAAAGACGAAGGTGAAGATGATTGCGAAGTGCCGGGTGAACTTGCAAG